ATTGGGGGGGGGGGGGGGGGTTACTTCAATACCTATTACGGAATAACATTAAATGCTGACTCAGTATCACTGAGGCTGCTGCTTCAAGTAAGCCTTTGGAAGTGCCATGAGTGCAACTGTCTCTCTGCTTCCAATAGGAAGTGAAACCTGTTCTTTATGTTCAGTGCTTTTTAAATTTGTGGTAAAGGTCTCTTTATTCAAGGCAGGGACTTGACAGTTTTCTGCTAAAACTAAATATTGTTAAGTTGTACTCTAAGTTTACTATTACAACTGTAAAATGTTAGCCACAGGCCTGAAGAAAGAGGAGGTAGAATGTGCTGAAAGTTTAGAGATGTATTTGGTAGCTGTGTTGGTCTGAGACAAAAAGAAATGCAAGAGTTCTAGAGTTTTGTATTCCTCTTTGTCATCTCAGACCAACACAGCTACCAAATACATCCCTGAAACATGGAAGATGCTGAATTTTAGCCAATTTTGGATTTAAACTTCATTGCTGAACAACAAAAAAAGATTGTTTGACAATCTGACACCACCAAGGAAGGAAATCTTCCTCATCTGCACATCAAAGAGCAACTCACAAAGACACCCTCAGGGACTCAGAGGACCAGGCTTTCAACTTCAGCTTCCTCTGTGCAAAAATGAAATTTTCTACCTATGAGGACTTTTTACCCTCTTTAAATTTTCCCTGAGACTGAGGAAGGGCATGTGTGCCTGAAAGCTTGCAGAAAAAGATATTTTTTGTTATTTATTAGATAAACTACGAAATCAAACGTATCATCTCTGAACCCCAAGTTCTAGAGCTTCGCATTTCTGGAAGTTTAGATGCAGATTACGGTAACAAGGGCTGTTAAATAGCTCCTTCAGCAACATGTTGAGAGCATTTGGAATGTACAACCTCTATACGTTTCCCTCGCTTTATGCGGGTTCTGTATGTGCGAATTCACTCTTACGCTATGACCCTTTTTATACCAAGAATTCATTATATGCAAGGTAAATTCACTCTTATGCAACCAGTGTGGTAGAAGCACCCAGTCAGCTGCTTTGTGGTGCATGGTGGGAGTGACACAAACCAAAATATGGTCTCCTATGTGGATCTGTGCTCCTCGCTTGTTGTCTGTGACACATCTGTAGTTGCCATCCCCATTACAGCTTCCAAGAGTCCCACTAGCTTATCTCCTACCCTTCTCTGCTGTTGGCAAGTACCAAAATGATCTTGTAAAAGTGATAGAAATGGCTCTGGGGGTCAATACAGTCAAGGTCTTGGAACATATCCCTATTTGTTACATTGTACAGTGTGTTCCCTTTATGCAAGCTCAAGTTATGCGCTATTTTCCAGGAACGCATGTACAGCATAAAGCAAGGGAAAGTTGTATTGTTTCAAAAGCTACAGAGCAGCTGGATCTCATTTCTTGGTATACTGTAGTAGTGACACCTAGAAATTACAATTGGTAACTGTGAATACACTAAGCTCCAAGTGAGCAATCTCTTAAGGCTGCACCGTGAATTGAACTAGCTCAGCCAAGAGGCAGAAAGCAAGGCACTAGGACCCAGTGCTTTTTCCTGAGGTGGCGCAGAGAAACTTCCCACAGCTGAACCCCACTCTCTGCCCACCCCAGATGCTGACAGGTTGGATCAAAGGGCTCCACCCATAGTAGATTGCTGACCCCTGCATTAAGCATAAGGCCTTTCGTTTTCTTTTCTGGAACATCCTGGGCTGTAATTAACATCTCAGACTGTTCCTGTGCATCTTGGTACACAGTAATGCTTTCACTTGATTCCTAAAGCTTGTGTTATCTTTCTGGATCTTAATTATCTTTCCTCAACCTAAGAACTCAGGGATACAGCCAAAAGACCAACATCTGCACTGTAACAGTTTTAAATCAGTTTTAGCACGCTGCAGAAGAAAATAGCAATCTGTCCAAACCGGTCTTTTTTATTTTGTAGTATGCAATGATCTCACTCACTCACAATTAAGATAAAAAATAAATGTAAGTTCAAAAACTCAAGTCCTTCCAAGTGCAGTTTCCATATCAAAAGAAGTATCCATTAAAAAAAATGCAATGTTTATGTTGTATAAGAAAGAAACCAATATGACAGCAATCATTGTTAGTTAAAATATCTGTGTTCTTGAAAAGATACATGGTAATACACTAATCACTATTACCGGATGGAAGGTTCCCACACACTAGCTAGCTGCAAATATTCACAATCCTATAGGAGCTCAATATGAAATCTACATTCCAACCTGCAAACAAGTACATATTAGTAGCTCAGAAAGGCTTGGTTTTGCCCTCCACCACAGGGGGGTGAAAACTGCAGGAGTGGTGGCCCCTGCTGAGGCCACAAAGCCTGCCCAGTTTCAAGGAGATAAGTGCAGGGGTTTGGGGGGGGAACTGCATCTCAAGTTGCAAACAAGCAACACTCATGACATGGGTGACAGCGCGTGTTAAGGCGCAGCACGATAAAAGCTGCATAGATGGTAGCCCCTGCTGCAGCCACAAAGCCTGCCAGGTTTCAAAGAGATAGGTGCAGGGGTTCTGGGTTCCTGCACTTCTAGCTGCTGACAGCCAAAACTCGTGACATGGGTGCTTGTGCAGCTGTGTCCGTCTTGGGGTGTGGGGGGAACCAGTTAACGAGCAAGGATTAAACACCTGCAAAACCACAGACTAGGGAGAGGAAAGAATCAATACAATCAGCTGCCCCAAGACAGACAGTCAGTTGCACAAGCACCCATGTCACAAGTTTGGGCTGTCAGCAGCTAGAGGTACAGGGCCCCAGAACCCAGAAGCCCTGCATCTATCTCCTTGGCAGCTAGCAGGCTTCCTGGCTGCAGCAGGGACTAGCAGGCCTCTAGTTTTCACCCCACTGTGACTTAACACACACAGGGTCATTTATGTCGCAAGTTTTGCCTGTTGGCAGCCAAAGGTGCAGGACCTCAGAAATCATACTCCCCCTGCACCTATCACCTTAAAACTTGGCAGACTTTGTGGCCTCCACAGGGGCCACCACCCCTGCAGTTTTCACCCCCCGTGGTGTAACACACACGCGCGCGCAACATGAGTTTTGCTTTCAAGAATGTGAGGTGCAGTTCCCCCCAAACCCCTGCACCCATCTTCTTGAAACTTGGCAGGCTTCATGCTCTCAACAGGGGCTATCACCCCTGCAAGTTTCATCCAAATCAGACAAAAAACAAAGTTATAGATATTTCATTGATTCCCCATTATACCCTATAGCCAGATCTCCACAGCATCTCCGAAGCTTTTCCAAAGCAGTTCGGAAGCTCCCAACCACTTTGGAAAGCCTAAAGAAGTCAGCGCTTCAATCCGGACATGCTGGTTCAGCGTCCGAAGCATCCGAATCTTCTCCGGATCCAAAGCACAGTCCGAAGCCTTGCACAGCCCTAGTATGTGTAAACATTGTACTTCCTACATTTATTCAAAATTTTTTTCTTAAACTGAGTTCCTGAGGGAATAAAAGATTCTACTCACTGCTATTACAGAGAGGAGTTTATTTAAGAAAATGATATCTAGATACCGTATTTACTCAAATACAAGACAATCCTGAATGCAAGACAATCCCCAATACTTAAGTTCTACACATAAAAAATGTATTAATTTATTATAATTTTCCATGTATGGAATCTAATTATTGGAGCATCATCTTAAATTCATCACCTCTAACTACTGCAGGTGGTGGGAGGAGAGGTGATGAGTGGGGCGGTAATGGGGCAGGCAGCAGGGAACAGATAGTGGGGGAGTCAGTAGAGAGGGCATATAGTAGGGCAGATGGGGAGGCATTAGTGGGGCAGGCAGCATGGAAGCGGGGGGGTGGGGGGCAGGC